GACTGTAACATGTGCTCTACATGTTGCCAACGATTAAGTCTATTCATCGGTATATCGATTACATCTTCATGAGGAACCACTGAAGGTGGACCTAACATTAGAAAATGACCAGGGGTCAGGGCGGTAAAATCATCTACTGAATCGCTTAAAGCAGAAATGGGACGAGAATTGAGACAACATTCTATCTGGGCTAAGAGGGTACTATACTCTTCAAAGGTAAGTTTGGTGTCTTTTGTAACCCGGTGAATATGATGTTTAGTGGAGCGCACACCGGCTTCCCACAGGCCTCCAAAATGAGGCGATCCTGGGGGAATAAAATGCCATTCAGTCCCGTCAGAAGCTAGAAGCTCTCTTAATTCTACAGGTAGGGACGCTTTACATTTATTTAGCATTCTAGCGAGCTCAAAATTGGCACCAATGAAATTAGTTCCACAGTCAGAATATAAATGAGCACAATGACCACGGCGAGCTGTGAACCTCTTAAAGGCAGCGATAAAGGCATTTGTTGATAGCTCAGACACGAGCTCTAAGTGTATGGCTTTTGTGACAGTGCAAATAAATATGGCAATATAAGCCTTAATTGAGGCAGCGGTTCGAAGCTTGGAAGATTTCAAATAACACGGACCGGCAAAATCTACACCACTACTAGAAAAAGGCTTCGATATAGTTACCCTGGCTGCTGGCAAGTTCCCCATCAATTGAGTAGCAAACTTGGGAGAGTATCTCACACATGCAATACATTTTCTAACATGCAACTTTACTAAAGATTTTACATTGGTTATCCAATAGTTAGCACGAATAACATTTAACATAAGCAAGGGGCCTCCATGCAAAGTCCTTTGATGCGTTTGGTTCACTATCAATTTTGCTAAATGAGATTTTCCTGATACGATCAATGGGTTTTTAGTGTCACGTGGAATAGGCGCGTTTTTTAATCTACCACCAACTCTTAAAAGTTGATTCTCATCAATAAATGGATGTAAAAAGTATAAAGGACTTTTCTTGGAGATACCTTGACCAGTTTGCAAAGCATTAATTTCATCAGAGAAATAGCAATTTTGTGACATTTTAATACAACAGTTCATTGCAAATCTTAGTTCATTAGTGGTTAGATATTGAGGAAATTCATTGGATAGTTCGTTCTTAGAATTAATTTTAGCTTGAATTCTTAGTTTACAATTTTTCACAAACCGTAAGCAATATGCAATCACTCTTTTCAATCTCATTAAGTTGGAATAATTTTGTATAATCAATTCATCGGGTAGTTCATCAACATTAACTGCATGCGCAACGACTTTATACTCTAAATCAGTTTCATGCAATTCATTATTCACAATAATTTCATTAGAGGAATATAACCAATGCGGCCCACTCCACCATAGTTCCTGTTCTGGCAGTTGTGCAGGAGGAATGCCTCGCGAAGCACAATCTGCTGGGTTGTCTTTAGAGTTTACATGATGCCATTGACTAGATTTTGTAACATTCAATATCTCGGCGACGCGATTACCCACAAACGTTTTCCAACTATTAGGATGCTTCTGTAACCACGCTAGAACTATGGTAGAGTCGGTCCAACCATAAACATTACAATCAGGCACATTTAAACAAGTCTTAACTCTGTCCATTAATTTTGCTGTCAATACAGCGCCACACAACTCTAGGCGAGGAATTGAGACTTGTTTTATTGGCGCTACCTTGGTTTTGGCTGCCACTAATTTAACTACAATCCCGGAACTGTCAATTATGCGAAGAAAAACAACTCCTGCATATGCTGCGTTGGAGGCATCACTAAAACCGTGTATCTCAACCTTTAAATTCGTGTTTGTAATCCCAATCCAACGTGGTAAATTAATAGTTATCATGCGGTTAACTTCATCTCTAAACGACAACCATTCTGTTTGAAAATTGAAGGGAAGTTCGTCATCCCAGCCAACACCAAGGAGCCATAATCGCTGTAAAAATATTTTAGCAACAATAACCACCGGAGACAACCAGCCCAAAGGGTCATAGATTTTAGCTATGTCTGAAAGTACTATCCGTTTAGTCAAATTTTTCTGTGAATCTTGTGAAAAATTAATTTTTAATTCAAAACTGTCCTTTTTTGGATTCCATTTAACACCTAAAGCCTTTATTGAATTTTCCATCACAATATCAAATGACTCTTGTGGTTGGCTGCCGTCCTTTGGTAAGCTATTTAGAACATCAACTGAATTTGTACCCCATTTATGTAACACAAAACCTCCACTTTGTAACAAACCAATTAACTCCTTACACAAATTAATAGCGTCATTTTCTGTATCACATCCCGACAACAAATCATCCATGTAAAAATCGCACTCTAGAACACTCGCGGCGTTAGGATATTTACAACGCTCATCACTTGCCAACTGCTTTAACACTTTGATCGCGAGATACGGGGCACACGACGTGCCATACGTAACCGTACACAACCGATATTCACTGATTGGGTCTGCAGGGCTTTTTCTCCAGACGATTCGCTGATAATCCTGGTCTTCGGGTCTCACGAGTATTTGTCTATACATACGCTGGATGTCGGCTACCAAGCAGACTTTGTGTTGACGCCAGCGTAAGAAGATGTCACGAATGTCGTGCTGAAGAGATGGACCAATCAGTAACTTCTCGTTCAGTGAAGTACCTGAACTTGTTTCCACAGAGCCGTCAAAAACGACCCGCAGCTTTGTGGTTGTGCTGTCTTCTCGAAGGATTCCGTGGTGCGGGAGATAACAAACGTCAGGCTTATTCAAGTCTGCCACAGGAACCTTTTCCATATGCTGTAGATCCTCGTACTCATCCATAAACCCCTTATAACGTTGCTGGAATACCTCATCGCGCTGGAAACGACGTTCCATGTGCAGCAAACGTTTGACAGCAAGGCTCTTCGATTCTCCGAGCGGTGTTCCATTCTTTTCAGTCGAGAACGGTAGAGCAACAATGTAACGCCCAGAGTCAGTGCGAGAATGCGTCTGTTCAAATATCTTCTCACACTGTGTTTCACTTGCTGTCTGTGTACGAGTTTGTGTGTGTAGCTCCTCCGATTCCCAGAACCGCTGTAAAATGTCATCTGTCTGAAGTTGGCTGTGCATAACAACGATCTCCTTCATTTCAGTGTGGGGTCCCTCAACTTTGCCTGAAATGAGCCAACCCAGAAGCGAGTTCTGTGCTATAATTGAGCTATATCTTTTGACACCATCCATCAAAATTTGTGCGTAAATCTCTGCTCCTAAGAGAAGGTCTATCCCACTTGGTCGACTAAACGTGGGGTCTGCTAACGGCAATTTGTGTAATTCAGAGGCGCAGGTTACATTTATCTCTTTTCTAGGTAAAATAGAAGCCAGGGTTTTCAGTACGTGAGCTTTCACTTCTACAACAGGGTTTTCATCGTGTAACGAGTATAAATTGAAACCCACGACTTCTTTAGAGACTGTACTGACCTTCGAATCAACACCTGTAACTCTGCTGTATAGATGTTCCCTGTGTAGTCCTAAGCGCTGAGCAGCTGATGTTGTGATAAAAGACGCTTGCGAACCTTGGTCGATCAGCGCTCTCAGGGTGTGTCTTCTGCCATCCTTGCCTCGAATCTGTACCAATGCCGTAGCCAACAAGACCTGTGTTCCGGTTATATCAGCCTTGTATACCGCCAACTGGGATGTGTCATAATCTCCAACCTCTTCATCTTCTTCGTTATCAACTTGGGTAGCATGTGTTTGTTGTGTCTCTGTAGTATTCAGGTGCAAGAGTGAGTGATGACGTCGCTGGCAAATCTTACACGAAGTGTTTTGACGACAAAATCGGACACTGTGCTTCGGAATAAGACAGTTGAAGCACAGCTGTTTTTCTATAGCAACGTCACGTCGTTCTTCTGGACTCAATTTGGTGAAATCTTTGCAACTGTGTATATAATGGTCCTTACTACAGAGTGTACATATTGGTTCAGCGCTGGCCTTAAACGATTTCAACGGTGGAGTGCGATTCACTGTCGTTTCCTTCGGAGTGGTGATGTTTAATGACTCAAGAGTTCTAAATCGCATCTCCATGAAATCCAGCAGCTCCTTAGTAGTTGGAATATCACGTGATCCTCCCAACCTCTGCTCCCATAGTCGATGACTTTCACTGTCGAATTTACCGACAATGATGTGCGTAATCAGAGGGTCCCAGTTTGTAGTCGATACGCCCACATTATTCAATGCGTTCAAAGTTTCATTTGTGGTGTCTAATAATGTGCGTATACCCTTGGCTGATTCTGACGGAAGTTTCTTCTGACCAATAAATCGTGTGATGTGTGCATGTACTATGAGTCTCTTATTATCGTATCTAGCCTCCAGCAATTCTAAGGCCTTCGTGTAGTTTGCCTCGGTTAAGGGAAATTGTCTCAACAATAACTCGGCTTCGCCCTTGAGATTGCTCTTCAAATAGTGGTACTTCTGGATGTTACTTAACTCTGAGTTATTGTGAATTAATGATTTGAATAAATCATAAAAGCTAGTCCACTCATTGTAATTTCCCGAGAACGATGGTATTTCTATGGCAGGCAACTTAGTTCTCAAACCATATTTTGCTGGGGCGGTCACAGTGACGTTTTCACTGCCTTTGGTGACCGTGTCTAACTTGGGGGCCAATTCCTCTAAATGTTCCTTCATAAGAGTCTTCAGTTCTAAATAATCATCCTCACAGTTGTAATAAAAATCTTCTCTAAAATATTGCAAGTCTTTCCTCTCCTCTGTTGTAGCTAATTCCAGTATTTCCAAATGATTTCTTTTAAATATTACGAAGTTTGACTCTAATAACTCTAATCTTGTGTCTATGTATGGTTTGGTGACTCTACTTTTCGATTTCTTATAATTGCTCAAAAGTCTATTTATTTGTGATGATAATTCCTCTTGTCCCCGTAATAGTGCTTGAATACCCATTTTAATCACTTATTGTTTTTCGTATCAAAATTAAACTGTCTCTAATTAATTAAGTCCAAATGTAGCAACAAAATGTTCCGAACTAATAGCACTTCACAAATTACAAGTTCAAAATTTGCAAAATTATACTAAGTCTTTTCCCCATACAAAAGTCACTATAATTTTTCTAAGTGTTTTTGCCCTACAAAATCACCAAAAAATATTCTAAGTCTTTTCACCATACAAAATCCACCGAAATTTTTCTAAGTCTTTTTTCCATACAACAGATTTCACAATTTTTCTAAGTTCTAAAACACTGGAATTTGCACTAAGTTCAATTTTCTTCCTAATTTATCAGAGTCACTCTACTTACAGTTTTCCTTGCTACGCACACTAACCACAATCCGTAAAAATCACTGCGATCCAATAGTGCACTGCAATCCAATCTTTATATCCGGCTCGTTAAGGTCCAAATGTTCACACACTTCACATCACACGATTAAATAACACAACTTCCGTAGGCTGATAAAACTTTATTAAACCAGTTATGCAAATCACCCTATAAAGTCCAAAAAAAATCAAATGTTAGCGCGAGTCAATTACGGTCAACGCCATCTATTAACGAAAATTGGAACTTAGTTCCGCGCGGGGGTGGCGCTACGAAAAGCGCAAATACATTTTATCTTAATCTAAACAACCTTTGTCTCCAGGTCTTCGACCCTCAAGGCCGCTTCCTCCGAGCATTCGGCAGCCAGGGCACTGGAGACGGCAAGTTCAACTACCCGTGGGGCATCACCACGGACGCGCTGGGCTTCATCTACGTGTGTGACAAGGAAAACCATAGAGTACAGGTGAGATAGATAGTTTTACCTCTTCAAAGTGATTGTCTTTGCGTAATAGAACGATGTCATAGTCATAGTCATATATGTTTATTGCATCATGTTGGTACATTTGGATCTTAAATATTAATACAGAGTCCCGAAACATGGCCCTGATGTTAAATGATTGACCTTGAGTTTTCCTGTGTAAGAAGATATTTATGTTTCTGTGGACTGAGAGAGAAAGGTTGCTGTTGCAGCTAAGTTTCGTCCGCCACTTTTTCTCAGCACCTGCCGATATGTTGTTCTGAAGTGTGCGTCCTGAAATGGGCCATACCAAGTAATAAAAGCAATGAGTCACTTATTGACCTAGATATTTCACGTGGCTTTGCACAAAAAGACTTTGTTATCGCGCGCGTGTCCTCCTTTAGAAAAACCCTGGCTTTTCTTGGATCTCAAATTCTCTTTCAAAAAATCATTAAAGGAAACATGAATTTATTAATCATAGGAAATATGAATAGTAATTAGCTTTTTCCTATATAGTTTATCTGGAACAAAATAAAAGAATAGCAAATCACAATCTACCCTCCATCCCCAGGTGTTCCAATCAGACGGCACATTCGTGGGCAAGTTCGGCAGCTTCGGCTCGAAACTGGGCCAGCTTGAACATCCCCACTACATCGCCGTCTCCAGCACCAACCGAGTCCTGGTGTCGGACTCCAACAACCACAGGATCCAGGTGTTCGACGTTAACGGTCGCGTGCTCTCATCGTTTGGAGAGGAAGGCTCTGAGGATGGACAGTTCAAGTTCCCGAGGTACGTTGTTTGATAGGTCTTTCCTTCCTTTCCCACCACTGTCTGCTTCTTCTCAGCACAGGCCCATTATTGTCCCAAAGCAGAAAGGGTTAAGTATTACTGGGACGTGTAAAAGAGCTTTGAGTCAATTTGCAATATACTCGTAAATTAATTTGAATTTATAATATCTGAAGATCGATTGCCAACATAAAATCCCAGCCTTTAGTCCGATTTTAAGAGGGATGTGACCTCAAATTCAAATTCAGTTGTTCAACTTCCAGGTCAAAGAGAAATGTACGACAGGCACTTTTGAATTATCTAATATCCAAAGTAGACTCATTTTGTATTTCAATACGTTTAACGTTAATATTACAGACTAACGTTCCCTTATTTTTTTAGCTTAAAAGAGTTTGCTTTTGTACTATTTTTAAAACAAAATCTTATGATCGAGTGTCTCAGGTTTAGGGATAGTTTCTTATCTCGTAATATCATCGACTCATAGATCTATCGGATTTATCAAATTCCCATTTCACTATAGATATTTGCGAATATAAATTAAGCCAAGTTTCTATCATAAAGAGGTTACTTTATTAGACCCAAGGCATACCCTCACAGTGTTAACGAGGCCTGCATCTGTCCCGCATATTTCAGTTCAAACTTGTAACGAATGTTATAGCGCGCGGTTTCCATTGACCGTAAACTGTGGGCTGCGGTATTCTCATTATAATACCATCGATTTGTTGGACTTGAAATACGCATCTGTAGTTTTGCGGCTTGGGAGTTAGAGTCCCTCGATTAAAACGCTCGGAGTTCAGTCCCAATTGAAACAGTAGGTCTGTGTCTTGTATCTTCCATCTTGAACTGAATTATGATTTGCTGTCTTTAGTCAGCTGAAAGCTAAATACCTAATCGATGCTTCCAAACGCACCAACATAAACAAATAGTATGTTGTCAAGGTCATGTTCTCCACTAAAATTAGATAAAAAGTAAAAGTTCCATTTTACTGCATCTATTTCTCTTTACCGCAAAAAGTTTTCCTGAAGCTTCACTCCACCAAATAGTTTAATTTATCGCTTCTTTTAATCTGACAATCATCTGATCTTGTCACTCATGTCAGCATCCCAAGGTGAGCGTAAGAGACAGATTTATCTGTAGTTAATAATAATACCGTTTTACCGACTACAGGGGGCCTTTATTTTTGGAAGAAAGACGTGAACTTGACCGGATTCCCATGTAATGATGGTTACTACCGTTGATACCGACCACGGGGGTTATATTTCCATCGCTCCACACTTTACGCTCGGACGCCTTGACCGGATTCTTATGGCCAGTTAGAATAATACGAGCACCGGTAGGGCTGCCAAAAATGTTTATTTCATAAGCTACGATATTAAAGAAATAATATTTAATACACCTTCGGTACGCAGAAGGGTAAAAAGCTTCTAACGAAAAAACTTTATAAATGTAATTACTCGTTCTTTTTGGACGCAAAATCTCAAGAACACTCATAGTTACTCGTTCAGTAGTTCAGTTTGTATTGAAACTTGTTTAATAGAATCTTGATTACTATATTATAACGTAATCTGAACCTAGTAAATGTGGAAAATTGAACTTTGTTAATAATTTCCTTCTGAGATGAGTTGAATACATCAGTTATTATGTAGCAGCATCAGAACTATCGATTTACGTCAGCTGGAACCACCAACACTACAAAATAAAATAAAGATTTTAAAACATGCCAACTTTAAAAAGTGGCAGCCCTACGTCTGGCCTATATACGTGATCCGTTTAGATATCGCCTCTTACACACGCTGCGACTTCCAAGACTGCTGTAACAATTTTTACACCTCAACTAATAGCTTCGTCGTAAAAAGAGCAACTCCGATATGCCATCGATCTATTTTTACTGTGGAAAATAAATCTGAGGTTTTGAATCGTGTTTGGAATTATAAACCTTGAAGATGTGTCATTATTCAATGTGGTAAAGCAGAGTGTAAATCGGAAGAATGCACTTAAGGAAGATGCATTTCTGACTTTTCTGGATTTTCGGAATAAGGCGCAATAATGTATAGAACTAGGCTCTATAAAAATTGAAGTCCCATTTTAGAGTGGTGCTGGTGGGGTAAACACGACACAATTGAATGATAGGTTGAAACTGGGTGGGAAATAAAATATCGTTCAAAGCAAAAGGCAAAAGGCTTTTGATAAGGCTGGAAAAGTCATTCCATCCAATTGCCAACTATGTACCTACTATCCCCCGCCTTCTTTCATAAATCTCTTGTGTCTTGAGTTCTTTACAATATGATAAGATCTTAAAAGATCACAAGGTCGATAGGAACTGATCCCACTATTTTAGTTATAATGCCAGCCACTTTATCCTGTATGTCCGTTTTTACCATCAATCCCTATTTTTTAAGTGACCCCTAATGGTAACACATAACAGTAATTTTGTTTTCATAGTCGATCACTAAAAAATTAGGGATTGATGGTAAAAACGGGCATTAGTCTTCGAAATTTTAGAAAATTGAAATTTAACCAACCATCGTCTTCCACAGGGGTGTAGCCGTCGACGACCAAGGCTACATCGTGGTGGCTGATTCTGGCAACAACCGCATCCAGATCTTCCACCCTGATGGCACGTTCCTGAGAGCCTTTGGTTCTTGGGGGTCCAGTGATGGGGAGTTCAAGGGTCTGGAGGGCATCGCCGTCATGTCTGGAGGCAACATCATTGTGTGCGATAGAGAGAACCATAGGGTGCAGGTGTTCTAAAGGTGAGATGAAAAAAAATTGCAATAAGACAACTAAGAGTAGGCGCACACCGTTGATTTTTAGTTGGCCGATAGTTGTGCCCGATTTTAAATTGTATGAAAAATCGGCCAAATCGAATCGGCGTAGTGTGCGCACTCCCATACATGCCCAAACTGATCAACTGCCCGACTAAACTATCGGCCGACGAAAAATCAACGGTGTGCGCCTACTCTAAAGCAAGTGTTCTAAGGTGAGGATGAAAGCGAGTGAGCAAATCAGATGCACGTAAAGAGTTCTCTAAAATTGGAAAATATTGAAGTTTCTACTACCGGATATTTTGTTAAAATATTTTTTGGACGACATGTATTGGCCGAGGGTTCGATTCCCAGTAGGGTCCAACTTTAACTATGAAAACTTCAGATCGGCTTATAGAGATTGTTACGTAACTTCAGCTTAAAAAGAAATAACAGAGCGTAACTGAACATTAGTTACCAAATGCAGCTTTAGGTACCAAGGTTGAAGAGATCTTAAAAAAATCAGTAGTTAAAGTAACACGGATACTAATTTTAACGGCTTAGTCATGAAAATGACAACTGCTCAAAATAACAACTAGNACGCCTGCGAACCTTGGTCGATCAGCGCTCTCAGGGTGTGTCTTCTGCCATCCTTGCCTCGAATCTGTACCAATGCCGTAGCCAACAAGACCTGTGTTCCGGTTATATCAGCCTTGTATACCGCCAACTGGGATGTGTCATAATCTCCAACCTCTTCATCTTCTTCGTTATCAACTTGGGTAGCATGTGTTTGTTGTGTCTCTGTAGTATTCAGGTGCAAGAGTGAGTGATGACGTCGCTGGCAAATCTTACACGAAGTGTTTTGACGACAAAATCGGACACTGTGCTTCGGAATAAGACAGTTGAAGCACAGCTGTTTTTCTATAGCAACGTCACGTCGTTCTTCTGGACTCAATTTGGTGAAATCTTTGCAACTGTGTATATAATGGTCCTTACTACAGAGTGTACATATTGGTTCAGCGCTGGCCTTAAACGATTTCAACGGTGGAGTGCGATTCACTGTCGTTTCCTTCGGAGTGGTGATGTTTAATGACTCAAGAGTTCTAAATCGCATCTCCATGAAATCCAGCAGCTCCTTAGTAGTTGGAATATCACGTGATCCTCCCAACCTCTGCTCCCATAGTCGATGACTTTCACTGTCGAATTTACCGACAATGATGTGCGTAATCAGAGGGTCCCAGTTTGTAGTCGATACGCCCACATTATTCAATGCGTTCAAAGTTTCATTTGTGGTGTCTAATAATGTGCGTATACCCTTGGCTGATTCTGACGGAAGTTTCTTCTGACCAATAAATCGTGTGATGTGTGCATGTACTATGAGTCTCTTATTATCGTATCTAGCCTCCAGCAATTCTAAGGCCTTCGTGTAGTTTGCCTCGGTTAAGGGAAATTGTCTCAACAATAACTCGGCTTCGCCCTTGAGATTGCTCTTCAAATAGTGGTACTTCTGGATGTTGCTTAACTCTGAGTTATTGTGAATTAATGATTTGAATAAATCATAAAAGCTAGTCCACTCATTGTAATTTCCCGAGAACGATGGTATTTCTATGGCAGGCAACTTAGTTCTCAAACCATATTTTGCTGGGGCGGTCACAGTGACGTTTTCACTGCCTTTGGTGACCGTGTCTAACTTGGGGGCCAATTCCTCTAAATGTTCCTTCATAAGAGTCTTCAGTTCTAAATAATCATCCTCACAGTTGTAATAAAAATCTTCTCTAAAATATTGCAAGTCTTTCCTCTCCTCTGTTGTAGCTAATTCCAGTATTTCCAAATGATTTCTTTTAAATATTACGAAGTTTGACTCTAATAACTCTAATCTTGTGTCTATGTATGGTTTGGTGACTCTACTTTTCGATTTCTTATAATTGCTCAAAAGTCTATTTATTTGTGATGATAATTCCTCTTGTCCCCGTAATAGTGCTTGAATACCCATTTTAATCACTTATTGTTTTTCGTATCAAAATTAAACTGTCTCTAATTAATTAAGTCCAAATGTAGCAACAAAATGTTCCGAACTAATAGCACTTCACAAATTACAAGTTCAAAATTTGCAAAATTATACTAAGTCTTTTCCCCATACAAAAGTCACTATAATTTTTCTAAGTGTTTTTGCCCTACAAAATCACCAAAAAATATTCTAAGTCTTTTCACCATACAAAATCCACCGAAATTTTTCTAAGTCTTTTTTCCATACAACAGATTTCACAATTTTTCTAAGTTCTAAAACACTGGAATTTGCACTAAGTTCAATTTTCTTCCTAATTTATCAGAGTCACTCTACTTACAGTTTTCCTTGCTACGCACACTAACCACAATCCGTAAAAATCACTGCGATCCAATAGTGCACTGCAATCCAATCCTTATATCCGGCTCGTTAAGGTCCAAATGTTCACACACTTCACATCACACGATTAAATAACACAACTTCCGTAGGCTGATAAAACTTTATTAAACCAGTTATGCAAAACACCCTATAAAGTNGAAAAAAAATTCTATAAAAAAATCTCAAAAATTTTTTGACCTCTTTTATGTCGATAAAAATAGGTCTAGTTTAATCTATTTTCATATGTACACTTTAACGTGACTCACACTGTATTTTGTAGGTTGTCCTTAAATAAATACATAAGTAAATCAATACCTAAGTATCGCAAAAGAATAAAAAGTTGAGGTCAAGAAGATAGTATCCACATGAAATTAGCAGTGTAATACAGCGTTAAAAATGCAAGAAATAATGCAATTCTTTTGTTCAGAGCTATACTCGTATGTGTTTCACTCAATCGGCATGTCATTCATTCATGATGTCACTAATACGGAAATTATTAACTGTGATTTGTTAAGTATTAATACGCAATATCCAAAATATTGTTTTATAACTTGCTTGTTACCGGTTCTGGTTCAGTATTATAAATCAGTAATTGTTTGTGGGGCGGTCCCTTTTTTGGGAAGGGACTCATTAAAATAATACATGTGATATCAAAATAACACAATTTGGTGCACCTAGAAGATTACATACCTACATTGTTACCTATGGTGTATGAAATAAAGCTTCTTCAGTGTTTGTTCGTTGTTGACCGTGTTGTAAGCCTGAGTGGCCTGAGTTTCAAACAGAACGAGGACGTCACCGAGGCTGGCTGCAACACTTAGGGCCGATTTCACCGATTCCAATGGAAGCCGAGTTCAATAGAACTTGGTTCTGCGTAATCGAGATCAAAAATTAATTCTGAACGCGGTTTACGTCCGTACCGGTTTCACCGGATAAACCGGATTCCTTTTGATCCCGTTCACTAAAACTTAGTTTAAATTTGACAAAGAATGAACGAGTGAACGACATGACGAGTTGCGTACAAAGTGTTGCAAGTAAAGAAATTGTTACTGCATATAAAGGAAAAAAAAAATAATTCATATAAACAGATCGCGATATTATTCAAACAAAATGGGCAGAATTTAATGTGTATTAGAAATAAAAAAATATGTTATACCTATTTTGTTCATTTAAATAATTCTTATACGTGTTTATGTACTTTATGTAAATTGTCAAAACCGATTATGGGGACTTTTTGACTTGAGGATGTCCCGTAACAAACTGTCACCCAGTGTTGTTTGGTTAGAAGTTTGTTGTTACTTGTTGCGTTGCGTTGCCTTACCTGTTTCTCTGCTTTTTTTTGACCCTGCTTCGTTTAAAGGATACAGTGATTCCCTCTTACCACGATAACCTTCTGCTTGCTATACGGACTCGGATTCTTGTCACCACACGAAAACTTACTGCCTGCTAAACGGACCTGTTGGAGGATAACCATGTCGAAGAGGAAGAGGGACCCAACCTTCGCTGCAAGCGAAAAATTCGCCCTAATTGATTTGGTGGCCAAACATTTTGATGTTGTCGAGTCAAAAAAAACCGACAACGTCAACATCAAAATGAAGAATGACGAGTGGCAAAAAATTGCCACAGAATTTAATGCTATTTCTAGCATCCACCCGAGAGAATGTAGTGTATTAAAAAATCTGTGGGAGAACCTAAAAAAGAGGGCAAAGCAAAGCCAAACTTTGCGCAACCAGCATTTTTTGGGAACAGGTACCTACTGCACATAATTAATATCAATTTTTCTTTTAATAACCAAAAAAAATTTAGTTAATTCATAGTTAAAATAATTTAATTTTATGTTTAAGGAGGAGGTCCACCAAAAAAATTTGATGAAGATCCCATAACCGATAGAGTGCTGGAACTCATCCAAACTCGAGTGACGGGATTTGTAAATAATTTTGATTCTGATGGCACTCTTGTATTAGGTAAGTATTTTAATTTTATTCAAATAGGTGCCCTTACTTGTAAAGTTTTTACATTAAAGTAACCACCTTTTTAATATTTAGCCTCAGGTAACACACAAGACGGAGAGGGCACAAGCGCCAGTATTTTAATATTACCAGCTCCAGAAAATGTAATTGATGAAGATTGCTCAAATGGTATGTTATTTAAATACTTAAACATAATTTGAATAAATTTGGTTAGTATTATATGAGAATCAATGTTGAACTTACAAATTGTTTTATTTCTAGATGCCAATACTCAGGCCAACAATGAAGTTTCTGAGGAAATTATAGATATGGTGAGCATTAACATAATTATTTCAGTTTATTCATTTCTAATGCTTATAAAGTTTTAATTAATCTTATTATATCATGTGTAGGATTGGTCTCAGTATACTCCGAGTATGCTGAGAGTAGCCAAAAATCCTGCATTGGCCAGACCACGAAGCCCATTGCCTGATGAGCAGCTGGCATCTAACAACGAGCAAGAAATTGCCCCACCGCTACCAATTGCTGATTTACAGCTGCCAATGGCTGAAGCACAGCCAACAACAAGCAGAGCACAGGAGAACCATCAAGCTCTAAATACTCCACAGAGGTAGGCATGAATCTACTGAATTTAAGCTATTATTATTATTCTGTCTAATGGCTTCAATGGTGCAAATTTGAATTTATGCTATACTCTTTCATTAGTCTGTTACATATGCTATGACTGTACCAAAACATTTGATGTTATTTTGATATAACAAACAAAATACATACTTATTTCAATTGATTGGTTCATATTAGTAGTTTTTAATGCACTTCTATGCCGAGAGGCAGCGGGTTCGATTCCCGATACAAAAAAATATTTAAGTATGTATGTATTTTGCTGTGAATAAATATTTTGAATTTGAAATATAATCCGTTGTCTAGTAGGTACTACAAAGCTTGTACTATGGGTCATGGGTAGGTACCCATAGTACAAGCTTTGCTTAGTTTGGAACTAGAGGCGCAGTGTAAAATGTCCAAGGATATTTATTATTATTTATTTATTGTGAAGGTTTTTTGGGGCTGGTGCATATTAGCCACCCTCTTGCACAGTAGGAGTACACTCACACTCACTAAAAACTCTGGTCGACTTGTGCCCATAGGCTATAATTCTTCTTCAGAGACGACTGTTGGTCTTTTAACAACCTTTTATATTACAGGACCATGACAACACGCGTGACTCCAGCAGCCATGAGCGCTGCTTCTACTAGTCGCAGGCGCCCAGTCTCAAGGCGCGAAAGAGAAGCTAATAATTTGACAACAGAGAGACTTAACACACTCCTCAGATGTAACACACATGCTGAGGAGGAGCATGCCATCCAAATAAGAATATTAAAATTACAGGAGGAAAGAGAGAAATTACGCCTCCAGGAGCAATTAGAAATTTTAGAGCAGGAAAAATTAAAAACAAAACAAGAGAAAGTTAAATTAGAAATTTTAATGAAAAAATTAAACGAATAATCTGTTTTATAATTGTTTTATTATTATTCCATAAACATAATATCCACATAAAAATTGCATCTGTAATGAATGATGAGATATGGACCATGGGGTGTTTGTTATAGTCAGTCAATATTTTCCATTCGAACCAATTTCATTGTCATTATAATAATTATCTTGCTAATCTGAAAGGATAGATTTTTTTTATTAGTACACATTAAAATGTATCTCATTGCAGACACTAGTCTACACGGTCTTGGAGGCATAGGTTTTGGAAGCCAAAGGCTAAAAAAAATTTATTGGCTAAATTTATTGGTTCTTGTTCCCATAGGATTCACTTTCACATTTATAATACAAGTAAGATTAGGTTCAACATGCTACATAAAACTTGTAACTGCCTTTCGGCAACAGCAAATATTTCAGATTTATGATAAGTAGAGAATTTAATTTTCATTTGCTATTGATATTTTAACATTATCAATTAAATACTAATGATAGATTAGACATGAAAGGATGAACAGTTTGAAGTCAACTTACTGTGCAAAATAGTTGGTAATAAATTCATGGCGCCTTCTATGGTTGGGATTGGATCTTCTTTGTGCTCTTGATTCGTTGGTGTTTCCATTATTAATATTGCCTAGCGCTAAAATTGTATCCCAAGATTCTGGAGTTATCACTTGGTTATCATTAGGAGGAGTACATTCACCTCTTCTTCTAGCTATGTTATGTAACACAGCTGTGGCAATGATTATTGGAAATGAATTGTGTACTGAAACTCCTAAACCAATAGCCATGGCTGGGAAACGTCTTTTCCAGACACCAAACAACCTTTCTACACAATTTCTTGTCCTTATTTGAGATTCATTGTAGAGGTTCTCAGCCCCAGTATTACACTGATCTAATGGAGTCATCATATAATTGTTACATGCATAACCTGCATCTCCAACGAGAAGAGCACTTCCATAATGTCCTTGTTCAAACATTGCTCTTCTATAACAATTATTGAAAATATATGAATCATGTGTTCCCCCTGGCCAACGAGCAACCACATCAGTAAATTCCAATTTGGCATTGCAGATTGCTTGAACATTGAGAGAAAAATAGTTTTTCCTGTTTCTAAAAATCTCTGGATTCTCTCCACCTAAAACATTGTTAAAAATAAGTAAATATAACTGTTAATGTATTTAAGCACATTTTTTAAAATGTAATTTAGTTTAAATTTAACTAACCTGGTGATTTTATAAACTTTATATGAGTGCAGTCTATGGCACCTATGACATAAGGAAATGTAGCTCTTTTATAAAAGTCTATTTGTGTTTGACGGATCTCATCTGGTAATTGAGGAAAATATATGTGGCGTGGTCTGAGTGATGCAATAGCAGTACTGACTTTGTGCACAATTCTATGCGCAGTAGAAGTGCTAAATCCACATAAATCTGCAGCAGTCATTTGATAGCATCCAGTAGCATAGAAACGCAGGGCACATAACAACTGGTTAATGGGAGACACGCTGTTATTTCTTTAACAAAATAATAAAATAGATTAGGCAAATGTCATGCAAATAATGTTAGTATAGGTGTATAGGTGTACCAGAATCTCATGGCAAATGGGGAAAATAAAGTTTGTTGAGTGCAATACTGGGGAAATTGGATTTAACGATCTTGATACTTTTTAATTTTTTATTTATGACTTTAATATTAATGAACATGAAGTACGAATGCCTACCTAATTTTAGGTATGTGTATGAAGAATGTTGTTATACATCGGGTTTTTAACATAGAAACATGTCTTGGAAAANTCTGTTGCTACTATTATGTATTCTGTGGTATAACCCACCAGAATATCCACCGTCAGCAGTAACGTCGATTGGTACTGTGGTTTTTGGTGGCACAACTATGTCAGTATCAACGTAGAGTTTGATTTTTAACTCATCATCACAAATATCCGGGGTTTGTAAAAATATCAGTTCATTGTTAGTTTTTATTAGAGTAATGTTCGGTTTCTCTGTAAACGATTGCCCTACTAGCACTGCTGTCCGTAAAAACTGATCATTAACCACAAGTATTTCTGTATCTGCCTTAACTGAACCAATTTCAAGTGTAACCGCAATTTTCCCTATTGGTTTAACAGCAGCATTACCAAAACCTTGTAGAATTGGTAAGTCATTTGTGTCCCAGTCATTCGTTATAAATTTTTTAGCGTCTGATTCGCGGATAAGTGAACATTTACTACCCAAGTCGATGTAACCCCGCAATTTCACATTATTGACGAACAAATCTTTGTAATATTTTTCATTATTGGTTTCACTACTAGAAATACACATCACAGTTTTACTTAAATCAGGAGCATTGCCTTTATTAGTATCGTCATTGGTATTGAGATTTCTCTTTCGGCAATCTTTTGTTTCATGCCCTAATCTAAAACAAAAATTGCATCGTTTTATTGGTTTGCTACACTTCAAGCTAATATGGCCCAATTCGTTGCAATTAAAACATCGAAGTGGGTTGAGGTTTGTATCCGAAACATTATTTCTCATCGAATCATTAGATGCCCTATTAGTTTGCCTAAATTGTGTATTATTCCGATTACGTAGGGGATTATTATTGGGTGTATTGTTTTCATGCTGAGATACAGTGCGGAGATAGTTAAGTACTTGTTCTGGTTGACTAAACATACAAGCTCCCGCACCCATTCTCACAAATTTGTCATCTATTCCGTGTATGAGACAGCCAACAGCTTTAGCACCCGTTATCTCACACTTGTTTATTAGCGCCATTTTGTCATAATAATAATGTTCTAGGGAATTTCCAAATTTACACCGAAGCTTTAACATTGATGTCAATAAATCGCCATAGTTTTCATTGGACGGAAAAGCTAATTTTAGTTTTTGCATCCACTCACTCCAGGTAAATAAAACCGATGGTAACCCCTGGTACCATTTTTTGGCTATCCCACTTAATTTCGGTAACGCATAATGGCATATTTGACGATCATTCCAGCAGTAAATCTGCGCGCATTCGTTTACTTTGTTTATCCAATTTTCAATTGTTTGACTATTATCGTTTGGGTCAAATTCAGGTACTACACTGAATGAAACAGGAAAGTTATTTTGGGCCCAGAAGTTAGGGTTTGAGGTGGGCACAGATTCACTGGTAGAACAATCCCTTGTTGGTTCATTTGTTACGGTTCCAGATGAAGTATTGGCTATCGGGTTGTTTATTTGTCCTGAGGAATTCGACAACGGAGGCGTTGAAGCAGATTCCCTGGTAACATCTTTTTTCTCTTGTCGCTTTGAACGCTTACATTGCCTAACTTGACTGCAATCTCTTTTGTGGCTTTGTGAACGAGTGTGACGGCGGTGTTTACTTTTATGATGACGCGATTTTTGTTTATGATGGTCACAATCACTTGATGATCGAGATGTTGTGCTGTCTACACTCGAATCTCGGCGGCGACGCCGCTTAGTTTTACCCATTGTTAATTATAAAAAAAAAATAATTAAAAAAAATATATACGCAGCGTACTTGTATAATCGATACAATAGTATTGAGTGATCCTTACAAAAGTACAAATTGCTTACTAAATAAACACTGATAAAAACAAAAAACTTTTTTTTTTATTTACATAAAAATAATCTTTCTCCCAATATTGTATAATTTGATGCTAATTAATTATCACTTTCACGTACATGATTATGTACCTTTATAATTTTGAACCGTCAATAAGCACCTAACTGGTGTAAATCATCTCTAAAACGCACTTTAAATATTATATAACATGTAACAATGTTCAAATTCAAATTCAAATAATTTATTTGTGAAACACAGGTAAGTAGTATGATGTACAAACAAAAGATGTGTTCAAGCCGTGATCAGCCTTGTCGGCATACAAATGTTAAAGCGTGATTATAAATAAAGAAAAGTAATAATGAGCAAATTAAATGTCAAATCATAAATGTCAGTTAAATTAATTGTAAGATTTAAATAAATAAATGCAGGGCAGTCAATCGGATATTAGTCAATATTAGATTAAATCAAGGTTGTCAAGGAAGAAATTGTAGAAAAACTATTTAAATTGTAAGAACTCATGTTACTCATCCGTAATATTACATATCCGTATATTACAACAAAATGCTCACTTTGATTAAAAGTAATAATCACGTCACTATATTTATCTTCATTCGACTCAAAATATCTTAATCATGCAAATGTTTATTTTTCCACGCCGAGAAATCAGGAACATTTCGTACTGCAACTTAACTTCCAGTCAATGCGACGATATAATATCAAATCAATATAAAAATCTGACCTTATTTCTCAGTCCAGGATAGCGCAGAGGCAGGCACGTAGATTATCTTTATCCTTCGTAACACTTCTGAGATGTAATAAAAACGCCTTGATGCTTTGTAAGATGCCCGTTTTATTTTCTGACTACCGTTACAACCAAATATACGTGTTAACGCTCAGCCGCCATTTTCGAACAGAACCATCCATCGATCAATTTTACTTTTTTTTTGTAAACCAAGAAAAACTTCGACTACCCGATATTAATTTTTAAAAGCAACTGTCACTATACCGAGATAATATAATTACGATGAAGTCTAAGAATTGAATGATAAAAATATCGATTGCTAACAATACGTACCTCATTACAAATAAGTAGATTAAATATTTTTTTACTAGACACTACTAGACAGCAACCCTAACAGCGTAAGAAGAGTTCAGAGGCACGCGATAGAAAGAGACAAAACTTGTAGGTGAATAAAATTGTAGGTACGTAGTGCTGTGCGAGCTGAATTCCACTGTATCGCGTCGTAGCAAGACTCGCATTTATTTAAATCGTCTTGCGGAGTAATCCTTCTGTACCTGTACTATTACTTATTCTGTGACAGTACACACGATCATGACAGTGACATGACAGCTCTTAAACTCGTTCAAAATACGCTAACCGACGAAAATTGGCCGTTCAGAAACTGAACCAAGTTCAACTTGATCGAGGTTCAGTTTAAGCTGGTGAAATGCAATTTTAAGGCGGAACTGAGTTTATGCGCGTAATCTGAGATTAACTTGAATTGATCGCGTTTAGTTTAAGCGGTGAAATCGGGCCTTAGCTACACACGGCTAGAGTGTCCTAACAGTCCATACATTTTTTTTTTTATATGGGACTTGAGTTTTTGTCACTTTGCAGTAGATGTCGCTAAAAAATTAAGTCATGATAATTTTATTAATTTTATTTTGTACGTGTTTATATATTAATTGTTATATTTCTTTTTATAATCAATACGTTTTATTTCAATAAATAAACCTATATNATCGGCCCTTAGTCACTCATGCAATTATAAGCTAACGATTTGCGACGCATTTGCAATCGTTTAACATAAAGGCGCTTTTACACTGCGCGGAAATTAGCCAAGTCAAGTCAAAAAAACAGTGGGGTGGGTGGGGATGAAAAATGAATGAATTTCATCCCACCCCACTGTTTTTTTGACTTGACTCAGCTAATTTCCGCGCGGTGTAAATCCGCCATAACATATTCGTGTAATGTGGAACCCGTGGGCAATTTAAAAGCCTCTTTGACAGAGTCAACCTGACCAGGTCACAAACCTACCACTTTTCTTTTTACGTCGGGAAATGCTTTGTGCATAATAATATGTTTCGGTCAAAGTGATAAATGTGAAAATTATGAATAATCGCCGGTTATTATGAATAATTACCGCATGATTTGGTAAATGTGATTAATATGAGGTCATTTATGTGTGTATAAAACTAAATAGGCGGCTTAGGGGTGGCCCAAGAGCCACCCCCGCCGCACCTTAACCTATTTTTCACTTTAAATCAAAACATTGTTATAGGCATCATGGAAAAGTAACATTATGCAAGAAACATTCTAAACTCATTATGCCAAATTATATTAATATAATGATATCAAAACGTTCAAAAGTTTGGCTGTACACGAGCACGTACACAAGATGTTGTTCTCTTTTATGAAATTTGTTAGTACTAAGGTTGAATTATTAAATAATCACTGTTAAATGTGATTAATTTATCACTCTGTCGGTAATTATTCATAATAACCGGTTATTATTAATAATTTTCAATTTATCACATTAACCGTAACACATACACACTGGTCGATGGGGGACGGCCAGTGGGTTATGTGGGATGAGCCTCTCCCCGCCTACCCACTAAAGACGGGGCCTACCAACTAAAACCCGACGGTTTCCACCAGAGCCCAAAGAAACGGAGCCGCGAGTTATTGTCCTAATTGGACATTCGTCCGCAGCTCCGCTTCAGGCTAGAGACTCGCTCACGAGCGAGCCTCTCTGGCTTCGAGGGAACCCCCGATCCCCTCCTCCAGTTGGTTTTTATAGAGGTTTTCTCCTCGCGGCCCTGGTACAACAGGACCCCCAGCCCGCCGTAGTGGGTAACGGTCTGCTCCATACCGCTGTTCAGTCAGCTTTGCTGATCAGAGAAGTAACGAGTATCCACCTGTGGGGGTTTTTAAAGATGACCCCTGCATCGTGGCCCGGGCAAATGCCACGACGGCCCCCGGCCCACTCAATGGAGAAGTTTCGTGATGTTGAAAACGTTAGATTTCACTGAATGGGATTAAAATATAGCCCAAAACTAAAAAGCCGGTGAAGTTATTTTTGAAATCCATCAAGAAATAAATGGCTTAGAAATTAATTATTTAAATTACCTCCATATTTTCGCGTGGAATTTAAACATAGGCGGTGCCTTGACGTCAGGCCACCTGTTCAAGTTTCAATCACAATGCTTACCATCCCTAACGAATTGTCGAGTGACTCTGGCTGAAAAAACAAAAACTACTAGATTTTAAAAAAAATGGATCTGTCAACCAGGGATGATTTACTGTTTGTACTTCGAATGACTATCGTGACTACACCGATCAAAATGGCGCAAATATTTGTTATGCGCAACTTTAGGGCTCTGTAACTTTTGTATTTGTAGATATATTTTCTTGATTCTTTCACAATTATTATTAGTTTTACTTATATTTTCAAGTTTAATTAAAAGAAAAAAATTGGAAACTTGTCCATTGTGGGTTACGGGTTGCCCGATAAGCCCGCCGAGTTGACGAGACCTGCCGAGCAGGTAAGAAGTTAGCCGCCCGCGTGGACAGACCACGCGGACGTTGCCCAGGGTGCACCACGAGGAGGTCCTTCACCATCGCACCCCAGGTCACATACTACCAGGCTAACTATACAGTATACAATACATAAATATGCAAATCAGTTTTCATGTCTTATTCCGAGAACAAAAAATCAAAATGAAACGCGACGCGACGTCTAATGGGCGTGCAGCCAATTAAACCATGGTTTGTAACCAAAATTGTGCTAATTTGAATTATCACTGTGGCTATTCACTGAAATTCAGAAGAAATCACAACAATACCGACTTGATTACAATTTAATCTCGTAACATCTCATCAGTCATTAGCCTTTGTATCGCGGTGCTATTGTCCCCGACTGAATTCTAAGTGGCCATGAGGTGCAGCTTACGGAGCGCGCTGGGCTGCCTAATTAGTACGACTGCTGCTTCTGATAAATTACAAGTGATTCGCGTACCGGACTAAGTACATATCGCAGGTGCAATTCGATCTCCTCCGCACTATACACAGTGTTGTGTCATATGCCTATCACTTTAAGAAGTGATTTCATATATTAAAAACGTCTTCGTTTCTTAAGGATTTTGCTAAATTCCTGGTAGATAACATAGGTTCCTTAATTTCTCTGCGAAACCAAAACGCCTACAAGATTTACCTTACTTAGTTTGAATAATTAATCTTATAATTAGTCTTAGATCAGGGTTGGCGAACCAATGGCACGCGTGCCAATGATGGCACGCGACATAATATTTTGGGCTCGCCACCAATCACAAATTCAGTAATTCAATAGTAAATAATGTGATTTGATTATGAGCTATCGCATTTGCCCACATCAGTTAGTGCCACTGTAGAGTAAGGTCGTGTCACTCACCAGTGGCGCCACTTGTTTAATACCCCTCATTGATAGCATTAGGTTAATTTAATGCACGGTAATACTATCNAGTGATAAGTTATAAGTATGATACATAATAAAATTATTTACAGTAATATACTGTTTACTTATTTTTCAAGACATGTTTCTATGTTAAAAACCCGATGTGTAACAACATTCTTCATACACATACCTAAAATTTACCTATAGGTAGGCATTCGTACTTCATTTTCATTAATATTAAAGTCATAAATAAAAAATTAAAAAGTATCAAGATCGTTAAATCCAATTTCCCCAGTATTGCACTCAACAAAGTTTATTTTCCCCATTTGCCATGAGATTCTGGTACACCTATAGTGGTAGTGAAGACTGATCTTGGCAAATCAAACTGTACATTATTGTAGGTATAAACCTTAGTATAGATTTATAATGTTTAGGCCAGTGGCAGAAATCATCACACAACAAAACAAAGTTAAGTACTACTTACATATTAGTAGGAAACTCAATTTTATCTTCAATTGATTCCAATACGGAAAGAACTGTTGGTTTTGTAAGACGGACTCTGGTAACAAAATCTTTATCATCGAGAGTGTCGAAATGTTCTTCTCTCTCGCGTATCCATCTGGAGCGACGAACTGGAAACTCCTCCTCATCAAAATTTTCCTCAAAAGCCAGTGATAAGGATCTTTTCATAATTTTATTTTTTATGAAATTTCTTTCAAAGGAATCTTCTTCTTCTTTTATTTTGGCGAAATAAAAGGAATCTTTAAAAATAAAGATGCTACACAGTANGCTGGTGAAATGCAATTTTATGGCGGAACTGAGTTTATGCGCGTAATCTGAGATTAACTTGAATTGATCGCGTTTAGTTTAAGCGGTGAAATCGGCCCTAAATTACTACGTACTAGGTGGAATAGGTATTTGGATCAAGTATTAATAAATACTAGGAATAGGTGCACCTAGTATCAAATTTACCTAGTATAACCCATCTCTAATATTTACTATTTATGTATTCGTCATTAGAGTGTAGCCCAGAAAACGAAATTAGTTTTTTTAAAGGCCTTAATATGGCTTTTTGTAACTTTTTGGACTTTAAATAAAAGCCGTCATTATTATAAGCCATTTTATTGATGTTTACTTCAAAGATTAATGTATTTCATTTTATTAATAGGAAATTGTCGTAGTTTTTTAATATCCGGTATCCGGCCGGATAGTGAGTTACTATCCGGTATCCGGCCGGATAGTAAATTATGGCCGGATATCCGGCCTACCGGATAGTTACCGGATATCCGTTTCATCTCTAGTATTTATTGTGCGCGTGGATAACTTTTATTATTACTATTTCCGACCGAGTGCGTGTTTCCTGTAATAACACTCGCACCTTTACTTACCTTAATAATCATTTGTTAGTCGGAATTCGTAGTTCGTACCATACCATTGTATGACATTTGTAATATGTTCATGTTTACTAATCTTTGTGTGGCTTTTGAGTTTTGATATAAATTCCAAAATGTCGCACGAAGTTAAGGTGAAGGTGAACGATAATATAATTTTAAATGACAAGATAACATTCTAGATTTCATAAAGATTTGGTTCTCATATAGGCTTTCAAATCAGCCTTAGGGATTTATAATAGATTTTCAGGTGAGCTTATAATATATAAGAATATAAAATATGTGAAGAAATCCTACTAGAAGTCATTTTCTTGATCCGATAGGATCCATAACGTTTGTATTTTTTATATTATAAGCGTGAAGCTGAACTTTACGGTTAATAAGATTACACTAAAATATACACTATGTAATTAAGTTTTGTATTCACTGTATCGTAATCGTATTATCCTATTTGTGGTTGTTATTGCGAAAATACCAATTTATTATTATCAGAATTCAGGCAATATTGAGCCGTGGTTACAGAGTTGTCTCTATTACGCTTACTTGATTGTGCCCTGCGGAATAAAATGTTACGCAACTCAACGCCTCAATCCCTAACTTTATTGTTGGTGCACTCAGTCGAATTCTCCTTGTCTTGACTTCTAACTTTTCGTCTTGCACCCATAGATTTTCTGTTACTCAATAAACACCGGTTTTGGTCTAAGCTCTACTTTGATGTTATGTGCAAAGCACATAGAACTTGCAAGTAATGGCAGCAAACTACATGAAGACTTCTTTCCTTTTACAATTCCCTGCGGAATAAAATGTTACGCAACACGACACCCCTGAATTTCAAACTTCTTGTTGATGCACTCAGTCGAATGGTTCTCCTTGTCTTGACCTCTGACTTTTCGTCTTGCATGTATCGATTTGCCGTTACGAGAGTCGTAACTCAATAAACAACGAACGAGTTTTGTCTAAGCTCTATTCTGCTTGATGTAAATGTGTAATGCACATGGAATATGCAAGTACTTGCAGCAAACGACTTCAATACGTCTCCTTTCATGTTTGTAGATACAATAAGAATTGACTTCGCTGCCGGCAACTTCGATCTTCTATTATTTTGTTTACATGATGAGAATGAATGGATTGAAAGAGATAGGTACTTGATTATACGGATAGTTTGACGGGAAAACTTTTCGCTCTTATCCATCGTTTATTCGGCTACGGATATCTTTAAAAGTATGTTCATTATATGACGTGTTCTCCATATTCAAGACTAAGCGGCCGCCCGCGACTTCGTACGCGTTTTACTCCCTTAGGGGTGGAGTTTCGTAAAATCCATTCTTAGTGAGCATCTACGTTCTAAAAGGAACCCCCATGCATAATTTGAGACTCCTAGCACTTGTAGTTTCTGAGATTTCCATGATGAGAGAACCTTTCGCTTTTAAAGATATACATAAAAGTTATAACCCCTTCACAGATAGAGCTAGCTCAAGCAAACGTTTGCTTAACTATCTCTATCTTCCTAGTACTTAACAGTAACGTTACTCTTAATTGACTCAAGCTAATTGAATCCGGAAACTCGAGATAGACTTGGCAGTACATAAACATAAGTAAGAACTCCAGTTGAAGAAATACGTAACAAGAGACTACTCATTTGGGGGTGTCACAGTTGTTAGAGGCTTGAGGTTTTAGTAGGCAAAATTGGCGCATGGAACTGATGAAAAAGGTTTTTATTGTAGTAACAATAAAGTTCACCTTTATCTGCAATGGTCATTACGTCCTAAACTTCTTGTTTAGACTTATCCAATTATCTTTCGAACATAATGAAAACCTAGTCTAAGTATGAATTATATGATCAATTTTGCATTCTGGCAGTGTTTGACAGCTTTATTTCTCCTTTTGCTCAACATTTCTAACAAACTTCTCACTCGAGTCCAGATGTTTGTAACTTAAAATACCAAGTTTGCTTCAAGTTCGGAACTTACCGCTTCGAAACTGCAAGTAGCGAATAAACACGGCTATATAATTTTGACGTCTTCAGAACTGTAACAAGCCTTTGTATCGGCACTTCAGGTTATATTTTTGTAGCAAAATAGCACCTATTTACAACTATACAGGGTGTTAGGTAAATAATAATAATATAATAATAATACGTTTATTATCAGACCATTATGATCCATACATTGTGTTAGTAAATGGTATGGTGAAGTCAGAAAATCGATATCTTCATTTTAATTATTTTAATTTTCATACAAATCGGATTTTATAAAATTTATTTTGTATGAAAATTAAAAAAAATAAAATGATGATATCAAATATCTGACTTCACCATACCATTTATATGACCATGTTAACATGGGCTAGTGTCGGCTCATATACCCATTTATCTAACACCCTGTATAAGATGGTACAATATTTATAGATCGTTTCATCCGCGAAGACGCGCCTCTCCATTCTTACGCTAATGTTTGAGTGTTATCGGTACATGCTAAATATTTATGAGTGCATACGCACATTACAATAATGTCGCTCGGATTGCTCGGATCATACTCCCATCATAAAGGTAGCAGGAAGGCTGTCCGCTACCAATCGATCAACATGGAAATCATTGGGGAAGGCCTAAGTTCAGTAGTGGACGTTCTATGAACTGCAATCCTTTGGACATGATAACTTTCCAAGTTTTATGCTGACAATTTGTTAACCTTGGACTATATTTCTGATAGAAGCAAATTTTGCAAATTATTCAGCATAATTTCGCCTGTGTTCATTGAAGCCTTTTGTGACGTAAAAGCCTTTCTCTACATAATTTATATCGTATTTATTGTAGCAGTAACATAAGAGACAGCCGACAGGTGACATGATGAAGCGGCGACAGCATTAATGGTTGTGCTGTCAGTCACTCTAAGTCCACCTATTACCACCGTGCTCTACCGTTGTTTTCGTGACGACTATATTACGTACAATGTTCTACTATTTATCAAAGTCAGCACAAAGTAATAGATATTTCATATACGCCCGTATTCACAAACTTTACTATGAGGTCTCACAGTGCGCGTGGACTCACACGGTGACACACGAACTAATCACAGAGCTCTATTCAACGCTGTGCGTTCGATTTGCTGCTTCACTTAAGCAAGCGTCGTTTGTGAATTGACAAATGAGCTTTGATTCTTGGCGATAACACAGTGAACCTTAAGATTAAGAATTTAAGACCCATAGTTTAATATGAACTAAAAAGGCTGCCAAATCTAAGTTAAATTGTGCCGTTTTTCTTTTGTATTTCTTTCTTTTTTTGTCTTGTGTGGTTTACAATAAAGTGTGGTACATCTTTATAGTTTTTTACTGTATTTATACATACCTACATTATATCTATTTTACTGCAGTTGAAAAAAAAGTTGACACAGTTGTGATTCAATTTTGTTTGTAACTTTGTTTGTCTTAGCCATGTCGTCTTTTCTTTCATCTGTAGGTGTATGAGACGATCATTTTATCTATGTGATCAGATCAGAGTATTCAGTTCAGTCAACAGAAAGTTCAAGAATCAAAATGCCTAATTCTTGTATTTCTTTGTTTACAGGTAAGGACGTCATCGGCGCTTCCAGCAGATTGTTTTACGACTTTTCCGACCTTGAAATGTTTTCAAAACAAATTACTGTCGCGAAGCACGAACCCAAGTTGATGGTAAGTCGATATCCGAGTGTCTACTATTGGGTCAAAGTTATAATGGTGGCGAAAAATCTGATTTTTTCCTGCATAATGAATGAATTCGCGTTCTTTCTCGACATTATTATGGTTAACTGAAGTTGATTCGTTTGACGCACGTAATTTATATACAAGGATGTTTCACAAGGTGGTCATACGACCACATAAAGATGGCCAGAAGGCGCTACCAACTGCTAAATCTGGATATCATTGGAGAATTCAAACATAGGCCGTTCAGCAATATACGTCCTATGGCTGAAATTATTATTATTAATAGAAAATGTCGCATATAATTAAATTATACAGTGACACAACCTCTGAATACATTACGCTTGACAAATTAATTCAGTTTCCCTGTGGCATCGGATCGCGGCTGGCAACGCGTTGGGCGCCATTATTCGGTACATTCGCATATCCGCCGCGTCATTTGTCACGCCCGTCCGGTTCAATTAATACCAGGTCTGCTGCTTCAAATTAAAGTGAACAGTTCTGTAGTGCAGTAGATAATTTTACGGTTACATTTAAATAAATATTATTTTAAATATCTTTGAAAATCGAGACTAATGCTGAGTTTGATGCGTACGTTATTGAAGGCAAAGTCATTTGTCTAATCTTACTAATGACTAAGATTTAATTGTTATCCTCAATGTATACTCATTTAGAGAATAAGATTCCGAATAACA